AGTTAAAGAAACTCTAGAATTTGGGAAGGAGTGAGATATCTCACTTTAATAATTTGATTGATATGGCCCTGTACAACCCAATCATTATCTACAATTGCCCAAATAATTTTATCAACTCAATCTACTTCCTTAATCATAAATGGCCATTTTTGGAAACAAATAAGTTAGGAAATAAAAGGGTAGAAATGTTTGTATCAATTCGGCATAGCTTATATTTAATAATCAGCAATTGTCCTCAAATAAATCAAAAAAACAATCGATTTTTGGATGAAAATAGTTCATCAGAAATTAAAATATCAGATTCAAATGATAATTTGTTGAAAGGATTGATGATAGTAAGAGTGAAAGGTATTTGTATTTTATAAACATTTAATCTATTCTTATTATATTTATTATTTGCATTATAAGTTATCTATTGTTACCTGAATATTTAATAAAATATAATATAAAAATTAAAAATTGTTTGTTACAATTTAAGCAATATCCTTAATTCCCACAAATTTCCGCTAATTCCTGTTTCATAAATTCCTGTTTTTTCTATATTCCAGGGAATTTTTCAACCCTATTCCAGACTTATCCTGAATGAAGATATGAGTAACAATTACAATCAATAGATCTTTTTATTTATTTTAATTTGAAACCCATGAAATATTAAGTAAAACTATCTTAGTCGCCCTCCCCCCTCCTCTACTCCCCCTGAAGGGATAGATTAGTTAGTATTACAATCAGTCTATAAGGACCCATGTGATTATGCTGGAAACCTTTTACCCAGCTCTCCCCCTATCTCCACATTCATTTGATACCCATGTTGAGATATAGAAATCAACCACAAAATTTGATATCATTTATTTGTTATCTTGGCCGTGAAATTACGCGTCACGGCGTGAGTGTAAATAGATGTTAAATTATTAGGCGTGACCGGGCGTAAACATAAATGAAAAAGCTATGAAAAAATATATACCCTTACTTGAAATCCCTTCCTACACGCAAATTACAATTTAAGGACAACTAACTCAACTAGAATCTTTTCTAAGAATTTCAAGACAGTTATTTTGTAAGAACACGATACTTATATTATAATATTTTATTAATATGATTTTTTAATAATCAATTTTTTATAAGAAAGAAAAAAAAGTAATTCCACAATTTTTATCAGAAAAATCATAATAATCTACAATTTTATTCGAACTAAAAACATTTTTTTATATCACGTGTTCTTTAATATTAATTGTAATCCAATCAACCTTATTTATTTTGGTTGATTAGCATTATGCAAAAATTAATATAAATTCATATATAAAACTACGACAATAAATTTCTCGTGAATCACGAAAATTTTATTTTTAAAATTGTTTTTTTTAAAATTTAAATTTGCAACTTTATAATTATAATATATATTTTCTAATTTAATTTAGTTCTTTTTTTAAAAAATGATAATTTTTGAAAACAAAAAATCTTCCGCATTTTATAAACAACATCCGGTTTCATGCCGTTAGTTCTATTTTCTTTTTATGTTTAGGTGTTTTATCGCGAGACTTTTTGCTAAATTTTGCTTAAGCTTTCTACAGAAAAGTATATCTTATTTGTAAAGATCTTCGGTCTGTAAATGCAACAGAAAGTGAAGGGTTTTACGGCCAAGAGTTAATAAATGTTGGTGTTACATATGGACAACAAAATATAAAAGATATACTTGTGAACCGGAAAACTCTCATGAATACTATAGCTCCAAAAATTTACGATGAAATTAAATTTCAGATTAAAAGCATGATCAATAATAATTACTTGTTCCATAACCATTGATTATTGGACGGATGTCTATAAAAATCGAAGTTTTTTAACCATTACAGGGCATATTATCATTAAGGATTTTGAATTGAAAACATTTATTTTGGCCACAAGGGAAATGAAAACAGGCGTCAATATTAAAAGTGTGTCAATTCAATTTTAGAAGAATACACAGAAGTATAAAATTATTTAATTAAATGTATAGTTGTGTGACTGATAACGGAGCAAATCAAATCTTATAAGTGCATTCAAAGATGACGAAACGTTAGCATGTATATGCCATATACTAAATAATATTATTCATTATATTTTTGACAATAATTTAACTGAAATAGACTGAAATATAAATGGTGTAAAAAAAATAGTACGATATTTCAAACAATCTACAGCTAGTAGCAAATTAAGCCATACCCTTAAACAAGATGTAATAACTAGAAGGAACTCTGCATATATCATGATACAGAGTTTCTTAAAATCATATTCTGAAATACAAGTGTACTTGTTTAGCAAGCAAGAATTAGATAGCCACAATTGATATTAACATCCTACGTGAGTTAGATAAATTTTTATCAATATTTAAAGTATGTTCGGATAATCTGAGTGCAGATTTTCGTTCCCAATAAATAAAGTTAATCTATGGAAACAAAAACTAGTAAAATTTTGTTAACCTTCTTGTCAAAAATAAGCTTAACGTTAACTATATGAAAAAATGAGACTAAATTCTAAAATAAGAATAAACACAGAAAGAAAACTACCGAATTAAAGAGCTAAATTCAGAATTATAAAATAAAGGAAACACGGAACTGAAACTTGGATATATATCTTTATTAAGTCAAATATTCATCAAATTCATAAAAGTAAAAATTCAAAAAGTGAAAAAAAATGTTATAAAAATTAAAAGTGATTCTTTCCCAAAAAAATCAAGAATATATATCGATCTCTAATATAAAAAAATGACTGACATTTCTTTAATTATATACAATAGATAAACAAATATATATATATAAATTGATTGACATTATACTATAAAATGTATCATTTATGACATGCCACCCCTTTATGGGCTGTGGCACGCCTATAAACAAACAAATAAACAAAAAAATATATATATTTTTAAAAAAATTTGTCACGGTATATATATTTTGGGACAAAAAAAATGATCGATATATATCGGTGTTGCATGATCAATTAAATTGCTATAACAGATTTGTAAAATATTATAAAGTCCTTCGATTTTATTTGATTAATTTAATAATATCATGATTACCTTAAATATTTCAAAAAAAAAAGCTAATTTCAATGTGAATGATCCATTGTGATAGTGAATATAACTATGGGAAATACCAAACTCGAAAGGGACAACAGATATTTCCTAAAGCATCAAATTTCTGAATTGTCATTAATATTATTTTAAACATCAACATTATTTTGTTTTGTCGGTGATAATAAAATCTTTGTCAAATCATCTGCTTCGTTTTCCGCTTCGATTTTTCTTTGTCTGCGATATCCATTCGTAATAAAGAATGTTCATTGCCTAAATTCATCATTGGTGGTACTGTGGTATTCCTTTGTGGAGTTTTGGGATAACGAAGACGTTATTATTATAAGACGAATGTTTCAAAAAGCCTGTTTATGGCAAGATGTGAAAAGCGGCAACGTAGAGGAATGTAGCCCCACTGAATGACGTGGCCATAGCGTAAAGGGATTGGATCTCTATTTATCTACATTGACGTTATACATCGTAATCGGGTGGTTGAAATTGCTCCTAAAGGTGGAGTGGTGGAGTAAACGATAATTCATGAGCATTGGCTTGATAATCAACTGGACACGAAGGAGAAACAAACTTTAAAAAAAAACTTTACTTAAAATTTTAACCAAAATTTTTATGAATAGAGATCTAGTGGGTATTTGTATGAAAAAATATTATTATAATATTTTTTTAAAAAAAACTATAATTTTTTTCATAAAAAAACTTATTATAATATATGTATACTATTTGCGGCGCATACATTATAACAAAAACAAAACCTATTTCTCCCATGTGCTTCAATTTTCTCAATCTTATTATCAACTCCCTTGGGGTGAGCGTCAAGTGAAACCAATACATAACAGTATTTGTAAAACTACTCTAACTCACTCACGCGAATCCCCCAAAGTTAATATTATTCATTACTACTTTTCAAAATAAGTAAGGAAAAAAATTTGTAACCATAGGACTGGGAGAAACAAATATTTAATACAACAACCATCTTCTTACCAAATGTTTAAGTCGACCAACATTAATAACACAAGCTATTTGAATACCCCTCAAAAAAAAAATTCATTCAATAAAAGATAAAAAAAAAACTTTCTATTCATTCAAGAAAAGATAAAAACATCTTTTCATTAGATTAAAAAAAACTTTCTATTCATTCAAAAAAAGATAAAAACATCTTTTCATTACATTAAAAAAAAAACTTTCTATTCATTCAAGAAAAGATAAAAACAAAACTTGTCTATTCAATCAAGAAAAAGATAAAAACATCTACTCACTAAATTAACAAAAATCTTTTATTCATTTAACAAAGCAGACAAATAACATTCCTTAACGAACCAAACCGAAGAAACCTTTCCAATATCATTACATGTTGACAAATTTTTTATTAAACCCTTCTAAATTGAACAACTATGATTTTAAACAAACTGACCCCAAACTTGTGTATTTTGACCTATTACAAATATGACCACTTATTCGGAACTCTGATCGACATGAACCAAACCAAAAATATCGAGACGCTTCTTGTTTATCCCAATCTTACATGATCGTGATGACGAATCACAGTCACCCCTGTTATTAACAAAATTTAACTTAATTTCGAACCCCAGTTCAATATGACCCGACCCCTTCTATTTCATCGATATTTTTTCGAGCGTTATTAGCAATATTTTGGTCTTTCGTCTTAATTAGGACCGAACCATTATGTAGGGCAAAAATATTCCAATAATTACTGAAAGGACCTAACTGAACAATCCAATCCCACCCCATGATGGTTTCCACATCTTTCTTTACTACCCATAAATCTAGGAAAAATGTGGTATCATGGAGAATTACGCCCAATTTAGTTTTTCCCAAAACTATTATCTCAGACCCATCAAATTGTCTGACACACATAGATTTTTTTTCGAGCTTACCCCCAGATCAATACTCATACTTATAATAATTTCTTCTAGACATTATGGAAATGCTAGTCCCTGTGTCGAACAACATGTCGATGTTCCTCGAATCAACTCTTACCGTAACTCTCGGACAAGGACAAGGTTCGACTAATCTCCCAGTCATTAAAATATCATATGTTTTAATTGACTGATCAATATTAATCTCATTTGAAACATCAGTTTCATGAGAATTCCCATTTGAACATAAATTCAACTCGGAATTTAGTGGTTCATTAACAATATTCCTTTTTTTTCTTGCAATATAACTGAGATATTTTTCCCATCTGAAAGTATTAATATTCCTTTCATCGGAATATTTAACAATACTCCTAGGATATTTCTCCCATTTAAAATCATTAGAATCCTTATTATTTTTATTTTTATCATCAGAATAAAAAAACTTTCGGTTAAAACCACTGCTTTTACGAGAATCAGATCTCATTTCAGCATGATTATTTACTTTATTATTATTTCTCCCTCCCGATCTCTTATTTACTATATGATTACACCTGCAATCATATAGTCAATTTTTGATACAGTTTTGGCTACATGTCCCGGTCTGTTACATTTAAAACATAAACGGGATTTGCCATAATTCGATCGTAGAACCTCAAATTTGTTCGTGTTGGTACCAGAAATTTTTCTAACATTAGAATTTTCGAATGTCAGTTTCCTTAACGGAAAACCTTCACGAAAATTTTGTTCTTTGACCACACAGGTCTCTACCTTGTGGCCCCTATGCCCACAGCGGGTACATTTCAAATCCTCTAAGTCTTTCTTATGACCAGAAAAACCATTTTTTCGAACAGAGATATTTTTTCCATTTGACCCTGTCGGACCACATATTTGGCCTTTATTACTACTACTATTAGATAACCAACTTATTTATATCTTGATACATAATCTTAATCACTTCTTTTAGTTCTTTCAATTCCTGGAGGATAATTACAGATCTCTCCCCACTACATTCCAAAGTTTCTACCATTACTGGTCTGCCGTTCTTGATTTCATTTAAAACCATATTTAAATTACTTTCCAAGACCGAAATCTTTTTCCAACAATCTGCCGACACCGAAGTGTCTATTTTCCAATTACCATATACTTTGGTCGCAACCAGAATACATTTTCCAAACAAAAATTTTATTATAATATATATAACATACAGTATGACCAACAATAACATTGTCACTAATGCATTCTTTACATCAAATCTATCAACCATTTGATGCAAATTTTTATAAATAATACTCGGACACTCCGAAACTTAATCAAATACGCTAGGCTCACTATCAAAATTAAATATAAAGCCCATCTCATTATATGAAAAATTTATATTACTTTAAAACGGCCTTGTTAAATTTCTAAAAATTTAAACAAAAATGTGATTGCGTTGTGTTCTGAGTAGAGATACAAAATATAAAATAAAATATTTTTTACCTTAAAATACCGAATAACCCTGGAATCTAAACTATCCTGGTAGTCGCGGTCAACAACTGTCAAAAATAAGCTTAACGTTAACTATATGAAAAAATGAGACTAAATTCTAAAATAAGAATAAACACAGAAAGAAAACTACCGAATTAAAGAGCTAAATTCAGAATTATAAAATAAAGGAAACACGGAACTGAAACTTGGATATATATCTTTACTAAGTCAAATATTCATCAAATTCATAAAATTAAAAAGTAAAAATTCAAAAAGTGAAAAAAAATGTTATAAAAATTAAAAGTGATTCTTTCCCAAAAAAATCAACAATATATATTGATCTCTAATATAAAAAAATGACTGACATTTCTTTAATTATATACAATAGATAAACAAATATATATTCGGCAATGTGAGGTAGTGGTAGGCAATGTAAATGTGAGATTTCGGCAATGTATACATTGCCTGGTTATTTTAGGCAATGTGTATTTTACAAATTTATAAATTTATTATTTATTTAAGATTAATTTATTATTTATTTAATATTAATTTATTATTTATTTAATATTAATTTATTTTTTGATATAATATTTTAATTTGTATAAATGGCCACCAATATTTTGAAAAATTATATAATAAATTTTTACAATACTAAGGCACTATGATGATTAAATTTTCGGATCTCTGCATTATTCTATCTCATATCAATAATATCGTCAAGGTCTCGTATATCAATCTTTGTTAAATTTATTTTAACTCTACTTTGAAAGTTGATTACTTTCTGAAATTAACAGTGTTCGATTCATATCTTCATATATTATTGCTAACGAAAAGTTTGACATAGACTTATAACTTAGTTACACCGTTTAGTCCTGTATTCACAATCAGCTTTTTATAAGTCCTTGATCATATTCATACCATGCTGAAATAATGTCCTTGGATCTTTCTCTCCCAAACTAGCAATAATCAAGCTTTTAGCTCTTTATTCACAATCAGCTGTTTACAAGATTATAATCTAGTAAATTTTTGGATCCTTCCTATAGCTATATATGAAATCTAAACAATTATATTAACAACATGAATCATTCATTTATTATCATACCTACATATTTTTAAAATAACCAATTACTGTCTAACCCATCATTGCCTAGATGTGCAGGATCAAAATTACAAACAATACCTCTCATAGTTTTCTTGCACATTACACATACCCTCAAACTTATAACAAGCAATTTTGTAACATCATTTTAAATATTCATAATCCTATATACATAAATTTATCTATTTTACAATTTGATTCTTAAATTCCGACCTGAAATATTAACACAACAATCAACATATCTCAACCAAAATTCCTTCCTACCTTGTTAAATGACATGGTATTTTAATATTTTAATCCTACCCAATATCTGACAATCCCTTTGACCTTAAACATAATAACCTAACCCTTACACGCCACCTTATATATTGCTCCACAACAATCATTAGTACAATAACATTATTGTGACTTGCTCAACAATATTGCTGCACAACAATCACAGTACAAGAACATTAATGTGGCTTGCTCAACTTACCACCAAGATTTCTTTGATTCAACCAATAATATTCCTGCACAACAATCTTTAACCTCAAATTTTAATACATATTTTTCCAAAAATATAGATTTTAAGTTAGTTTGTATTATATATTTATTTTTTTTTTTTTAAATATAAATTTTTATTTAAACATTACTCAATTATTCTTAATACAACAAAATTTAAATTTTTAATTTTAATTTAACTTTTATTTATATATATATTTTTTTTTTGAAAAATCACTCATTCATACATACCCCCTACCCTCTTCTCCTTTTTTTTATTCTTCTAAAATGGGTATGTCAAGCATTTGTAATGCCTGCCATAGAAATATAACCTTGACCCAAGCTATTTGTTTTTATAAACATGGGCCCAGGTCTAAACCATGTATAAACTCTGGTAAACCCCCTTCAAATGAAATTTTATACAACAAAATTGAAACAACCCCCATTGTAATCCAAAATTCTTATCCTGATTTTTATGATAATTTTTTAAAGTGGGAAAAGCCACCAACCTTAATCCACCTACCCCTTAAATCAAGGTGTTTAATTTCTAATTTTTTAACAACACTTATTATGGAAGTTAATTCAAATTTAAATTCCCTTAAAGCTTGGGAGAATCTTTTAACCTTTCCTTTTAAAGTCTTAATTAAACCTACAGATAAAAATAAAAAAACTATTTTACATGAATGTATAAAATATAAAATAGACCATTTTTATGATTTAGAAATGGAAAATTATGTTCCTGATGTAAGGGCAACATCTAATTTTTCCCATAAATGTAAGATTATATCAAAAAAAATAGACCAAGGGGACGTATGTGGAGCTCTTAAATTAGCCTCATCTAATGATAAATTGGCTCCATTTGATGAACATACTTTTACTTTACTAAAAGAATTGCACCCTCAGGCTTTTCCTGAAGATCTTCCCATCCCTATAAAATCTAATTTAATCGAAATAGGTAAAGAAGAACTTATTAAAACAATTTTATCTTTTAATAAAAACTCTACAGGGGGAATTGACGGTTTTCGCCCCTCTTATTTCCAATTTTTAATTAACCCTAAAAATCCTCATAAAGATACATTTGTAAATTCATTGGTAATACTTAGTGAAAATATATTGAACAATGATTTACCCAGTCAAATTCACCAAATCCTTTTTGGCGCAAGATTAATTGCTTTTACTAAGCCTGATGGTGGAGTTCGGCCAATCGCAATAGGGTCTTTTTTTAGGAGACTATTAGCTAAGATAATCGTTGAGCGCTTCAAACCTGATGCTTCAAAAATGTTCCAAACATATCAACTAGGCTTTGGTACTAAAGGGGGATGCGAAATAGCCGCTCACTCTCTTCGCATATATATCGAAGATCCTCCTCCAGACGCCGTAGTCTGTAAGCTTGATTTTAAAAATGCTTTTAATTCTTTATCCAGAAAAACATTTTTAAACATTTTTTATGAAAAATTCCCATTTTATGCAAGATTTATTGAACAGTCTTATGGCTGTAGAACCCCTCTCAAATTCGGGGAATATACAATTCCTTCTGACGAGGGTATTCAACAAGGAGACCCTTTGGGCCCTCTCATCTTTAGTTTAGGTATACATAACCTAGTTCATTGTCTAAAATCCTCTTTTAATTTAGATTTAAACATATGGTATCTAGATGATGGTACCATTTGCGGACCTTCTAAAAATATTCTTGCAGCGATAGATTATATAGAGAAAAATTCTCTAAACATAGGCCTTACTCTAAATAAAGCTAAATCGGAAATATGCTTTTTAAATTCAAATACTCTCAAAGTCCAAGGGTTTAAAATCATCAAAAAAAGTGAAATTAATCTTCTAGGTTCACCTTTAAGCAGTTTTTCCAACTGTGAGGTGTTCGTGGAAAAATTTTTCGAAGGCTTATCAGGACTCGAAACTATTTTAAACGAAATTCCTTCACACCAGAGCTTTTTTCTTTTAAAAAAATATTTATTTTTACCAAAGATAGTACATATTTTTAGATCTTCTTCCTTTTTTTAAATAATGAAATTATTAATCGTGTTCATGAATTTTTTAGAAGTTTATTAGAAAATATTTTAAATATTAAATTGGAAGATTTTAATTGGGGCTTCTCACAATTACCCTCGAAAATGGGTGGTTTAGATTTATATCCTTTAAACCTTCTATCTCTTTCCTCATTTTTGGCATCGCGTTTGATGAATAACGCCATGATATCTTCTTTTATCTCTCCTAAAGATAACCTTTTAAACTCAGCCTTGACAGCCTGGACATCTTTAGCTCCACCTGAAGCTGTCTTACCCACGATCTTAACACACCAATCTCTTTTCGAACCTTTAATTAAAAAATTTTTTAAAATAATCTCATCAAACCCCCCTTTGGAGTATATTCAACTATTACAGAATGCTGACTGTACTAGTGGCTATGAATGGTTGGAAGCATTACCAAGTCGTAACCTAGGTAACCTCTTATCAGATGAACAATTAAGAGTTGCCATAGGCCATCGACTTGGATGTAACATTGTTCAACCACATACATGCATCAAATGTAAAACATTAGTTGACTCCAAAGGGAGACATGGTCTAAATTGTATATATAGTCAAGGCAGGCATGCAAGGCATGCAGCAATTAATTTAGCTATTAGCCGTTCTCTTACCAGGGCCCGAATACCAAACATCCTGGAGCCTACAAATTTATCGTTAGATGATGGCTTAAGACCAGATGGTTTAACTTCCGTGCCTTGGTCTTTAGGGAAATCCTTAATTTGGGACTTCACATGCGTATCTTCTTTCCCAAAAAATTTATTCTAATCCGGTTGATATAGCCGAGAAAAAAAAAACAATGAAATATTCCAAATTCACAAATTATATTTTTACACCGATTGTCATCTCTTCCCTTGGACATATGCCAAGTGGAACTTTAAAGTTTTTAAAAAATATAGGAAGATAAGAGCCCTTACATCAGAACCTAAAGAATCTTATTTCTTAAAACAAAACCTCCAAATCATAATTTTAAAATATAACTACACATGTTTTTTGGGAACTTGTAGTCCCACCTCGGTTTTTATATAATATTTTATTTATTTTATTTTATTTTATATTATTTTAATTTAGTATTTTAACGCTATGTATTATTTTACACAAATTATATAATGTTATTTTGATAAAATTTATAAATATATAAATAAATAAGTGTAATTTAAAAAAAAAAAAAAAAATTTGTTATATTATCTTTTTAAATATATTTTTTGATTGATATTTTTTTTTAATATATTATAATATATTATAATTTGTTATATATTTTTTTACATTATTTTTTTGATAGATATTTTATTTTAATATAATTATTTTTTTATATATTTTTTTTGATTGATATTTTTTTTTTAATATAATTTTTTTTATATATTTTTTTTAATATAATTACTCTTTTAAATATTTATTTTTGACGTAGATTTTTTTTGATAGATAATTTTTTTTTGTTTTTTGGTTTATATTATTTTTTAAATAAAACTTTAGAGGTAATATATAATATATTTTTTTTGATATTTTTTTTTAAGTATATTGAAATAATATATTATAATTTGTTATATTATTTTTTACATATTTTTTTTGATAGCTAATTGTTTTTTGGTTTATATTATTTTTTAAATAAAACTTTAGAGGTAATATATTTTAATTTGTTATATTATTTTATTTTTTTTTGATTGATATTTTTTTTAAAATAATTTTTAGATAATATATTTTAATTTGTTATATTATTTTTTTATATATTTTTTATTTTTGATTGATATTTTTATTATAATGGTTTTTTATGTATTTATTTTTCACGTAAATTTTATCTTGATATATTTTTTGATAGCTAAATTTTTTTTAATTTTTTGTGTTATATTATTTTTTTAAATATATTTTTTGTTTGATATTTTTTTTAAGATAATTTTTAGAAAATATATTTTAATTTGTTATATTATTTTTATATATATTTTTTGACTGAAATTTTTTATTATAATGGTTTTTTATGTATTTATTTTTCACGTAAATTTTTTCTTGATATATTTTTTGATAGCTAAATTTTTTTTTATTTGTGTTATTATTATTTATTTAAATATATTTTTTGATTGATATTTTTTTTAGAGATAAGATATTTTAATTTGTCATAATTTTTTTAATATATTTTTTGATTGATATTTTTTTTAAATGATTTTTATATAATTTATTTTTAACGTAATTTTTAATCTTTTGATTCCTAATTTTATAGGTAAAAGTGACAAAAGGTATAATCGTAATTTTTGAACTTTTTTAAGTTTTTAAAAGCAATTTTCAGTGAAGATGTATTATAGAAAAGTGACAATTGTCATAATTGTTATTTTTGAACATTTTTTAGTTTTTTTAAAGTAAATAGGTAAAAATATGTTTTGTAAAAATGTTAAATTAATATTTCAGTGAAGATGTACTATGGAAAAGTGACAATTGTCATAATCGTTATTTTTGAACATTTTTTAGTTTTTTTAAAGTAAATAGGTAAAAATATGTTTAGTAAACGTGTTAAATTAATATTTCAGTGAAGATGTACTATGGAAAAGTGACAATTGTCATAATCGTTATTTTTGAACATTTTTTAGTTTTTTTAAAGTAAATAGGTAAAAATATGTTTTGTAAAAATGTTAAATTAATATTTCAGTGAAGATGTATTATGGAAAAGTGACAATTGTCATAATCGTTATTTTTGAACATTTTTTAGTTTTTTTAAAGTAAATAGGTAAAAATATGTTTAGTAAACGTGTTAAATTAATATTTCAGTGAAGATGTACTATGGAAAAGTGACAATTGTCATAGTCGTTATTTTTGAACTCTTTTGATTTTTTTTAAAGTAAATAGTTAAAATTATGTTTTGTAAAAATGTTAAATTAATATTTCAGTGAAGATGTACTATGGAAAAGTGACAATTGTCGTAGTCGTTATTTTTGAACTTTTTTGATTTTTTTTAAAGTAAATAGTTAAAATTATGTTTTGTAAAAATGTTAAATTAATATTTCAGTGAAGATGTACTATGGAAAAGTGACAATTGTCATAATCGTTATTTTTGAACATTTTTTAGTTTTTTTAAAGTAAATAGGTAAAATTATGTTTTGTAAACATGTTAAATTAATATTTCAGTGAAGATGTATTATGGAAAAGTGACAATTGTCATAATTGTTATTTTTGAACATTTTTTAGTTTTTTTAAAGTAAATAGGTAAAAATATGTTTAGTAAACGTGTTAAATTAATATTTCAGTGAAGATGTACTATGGAAAAGTGACAATTGTCATAGTCGTTATTTTTGAACTTTTTTTATTTTTTTTAAAGTAAATAGGTAAAAATATGTTTAGTAAACGTGTTAAATTAATATTTCAGTGAAGATGTACTATGGAAAAGTGACAATTGTCATAGTCGTTATTTTTGAACTTTGATTTTTTTTAAAGTAAATAGTTAAAATTATGTTTTGTAAAAATGTTAAATTAATATTTCAGTGAAGATGTACTATGGAAAAGTGACAATTGTCATAATCGTTATTTTTGAACATTTTTTAGTTTTTTTAAAGTAAATAGATAAAATTATGTTTTGTAAACATGTTAAATTAATATTTCAGTGAAGATGTATTATGGAAAAGTGACAATTGTCATAATCGTTATTTTTGAACATTTTTTAGTTTTTTTAAAGTAAATAGGTAAAAATATGTTTAGTAAACGTGTTAAATTAATATTTCAGTGAAGATGTACTATGGAAAAGTGACAATTGTCATAGTCGTTATTTTTGAACTTTTTTTATTTTTTTTAAAGTAAATAGTTAAAATTATGTTTTGTAAAAATGTTAAATTAATATTTCAGTGAAGATGTACTATGGAAAAGTGACAATTGTCATAGTCGTTATTTTTGAACTTTTTTGATTTTTTTTAAAGTAAATAGTTAAAATTATGTTTTGTAAAAATGTTAAATTAATATTTCAGTGAAGATGTACTATGGAAAAGTGACAATTGTTATAATCGTTATTTTTGAACATTTTTTAGTTTTTTTAAAGTAAATAGGTAAAATTATGTTTTGTAAACATGTTAAATTAATATTTCAGTGAAGATGTATTATGGAAAAGTGACAATTGTCATAATCGTTATTTTTGAACATTTTTTAGTTTTTTTAAAGTAAATAGATAAAAATATGTTTAGTAAACGTGTTAAATTAATATTTCAGTGAAGATGTACTATGGAAAAGTGACAATTGTCATAATCGTTATTTTTGAACATTTTTAGTTTTTTAAAGTAAATAGGTAAAAATATGTTTTGTAAAAATGTTAAATTAATATTTCAGTGAAGATGTATTATGGAAAAGTGACAATTGTCATAATCGTTATTTTTGAACATTTTTTAGTTTTTTTAAAGTAAATAAGTAAAAATATGTTTAGTAAACGCGTTAAATTAATATTTCAGTGAAGATGTACTTTGGAAAAGTGACAATTGTCATAGTCGTTATTTTTGAACTCTTTTGATTTTTTTTAAATAAATAGTTAAAATTATGTTTTGTAAAAATGTTAAATTAATATATCAGTGAAGATGTACTATGGAAAAGTGACAATTGTCGTAGTCGTTATTTTTGAACTTTTTTGATTTTTTTTAAAGTAAATAGTTAAAATTATGTTTTGTAAAAATGTTAAATTAATATTTCAGTGAAGATGTACTATGGAAAAGTGACAATTGTCATAATCGTTATTTTTGAACATTTTTTAGTTTTTTTAAAGTAAATAGATAAAATTATGTTTTGTAAACATGTTAAATTAATATTTCAGTGAAGATGTATTATGGAAAAGTGACAATTGTCATAATCGTTATTTTTGAACATTTTTTAGTTTTTTTAAAGTAAATAGGTAAAAATATGTTTAGTAAACGTGTTAAATTAATATTTCAGTGAAGATGTACTATGGAAAAGTGACAATTGTCATAGTCGTTATTTTTGAACTTTTTTTATTTTTTTTAAAGTAAATAGTTAAAATTATGTTTTGTAAAAATGTTAAATTAATATTTCAGTGAAGATGTACTATGGAAAAGTGACAATTGTCATAATCGTTATTTTTGAACATTTTTTAGTTTTTTTAAAGTAAATAGGTAAAAATATGTTTAGTAAACGTGTTAAATTAATATTTCAGTGTAGATGTACTATGGAAAAGTGACAATTGTCATAATCGTTATTTTTGAACATTTTTTAGTTTTTTTTAAGTAAATAGTTAAAATTATGTTTTGTAAAAATGTTAAATTAAAATTTCAGATGAACTTATAATGTTTAACGCATAATCTTAGTAATAAATATAAGGGCTAATAGTATTTAATGTTCGCTATATTGCAACATAGTTAATTGCTAAAATATATTTCGTTTATAAATATATTCATGAAAATGTATTTAGTGATAGATATACATCTCAATAGCTCTAACTTGTAATTTTAGATAGTTCACTAAAGTGAATAAATATTTAAAATATATTTACTCACAGAATTGAAATAAATAAGTCAAAGATATTATAGTTAGTTGATATACAAATAACCGATGCAGGATTCATATTTAAATATTTCGCAGTTAATATTTTAGGAAAAAATAAATTAATCCTAAAAATATTTTATATATACATCGGTCTACTATTATAAATTATGTTAAAAAACATTTCCGGCTGCTATGAAGATTAAGGTGTAATCGTAATAGTAAAATTTTTTATCATTTGAGGTCATTAATGTATTCATGCTGAAATCTCGAGATTAATCAAATCAAGGCATTGACGATTTGCAGGAAAATAA